TTGTTTTTGTTTGTGGAAACAAAAAAAATAAAATAAATAAATAAATTTAAAAAAAATAAAAATAAATATAAATTTATATAAATTTAAATTTAATAAATTTATAAATTTACGTGGTGTTTCCACAAACAAAAACAATTAATATTGGACATGTTTGTTCATTGTGCAAACGTCATCACAAGATTGGTGATGATATAGAAAGATATACACTACGTACGTTCTTACCTGTGTACAGACCATTTACAATTGGTCCGACTGCTTTGGAGACAAATCCTTGAGTTTGATGAGCTTTGTTTGATTTATGTATAGCTTTTGCTGCACTTTTAATTTGACTCTGAATTTGCTTCGTTGTAAATCCTTGAACATACGCAAATTTATTGTGGATTTTTGGTTGGGCGAGCCCATGGGGGTTGGCTGCGGTTCTTTGAGCTTCAAATTTATTTTGAAAGTCTGCTCTCATCTCTTTATAAAGCTACAAGAAATAAAGAAAATAAGAAATATGTTCACAAAATATTGAAACTTTCTATAAGGAATACTAGGATTACACTGGGATAAATAACTGTGCAACATTTGAGCCAGAGGATAGATCATTTAGAAGAAGCTAAAGTATACGAAACTGGCTCTTCAGCAAGTTCCTTTTATGGCAAAACTTGCAGTGAATCAATTATCCTTTGAGCAAACTCTTTGAACAGATTATAATATGCTCCACACAAATTTCATTACCTTTTATCAAAGAAAGTTCGCCCGTAGCAACCACGCCCCTACGAGTCAAGTAAGATCTTACGATAGCAGAGCTTTCCACGGAAATGAATCATGATCAACAATTTATGGCAAAACAACAAACACATTAGAAATATAGTGATACCTTGTTGATAGCATATCTTTCTTTGAGTGGCAGATATATACCATATCCAACAGTCAATGCCACTGAAAATACAAAACGACCTGTACCATCCCACGTCCACTCATCAAAAATCCCCTTCATGGTAGGACTTGCAACAATTTGATCTACTGTTGTTCTTTTATCCTGCACCATTTTCTGCAAAAGAAGATTCAATTTGATAGATATTACTTACTGTAAAAGAACAAAAGATTATATATAAACTATAGAAACATTAATTGGCAGTGAACCAAACAGAATGGTGCACATTTGACTACAGCTACCACTACTTCTCACTGGCGCCTGTTTCCCACGAAGCGAATTTGTTTTTGCGAAGCGAATTTTCTCTGTCGACATCGCTCATCACGTCAGCAAAAATGAAGCCAATACAGTGAGCTCTATATATAACTGGAACAAAAGCTTCAGTCATTTGACCGATGAGAAAAGGAAAGCTAAGACATTGAAATGAATATAACTGCAACGCTACCTTCAGATAAACTGCTTTATCTTGAAGCCAAATCTTGACCCCCAGACACGCGTGTTTCATGATTGGCTGATTCAGGTCATTCAGCGTTCTTCGCATGCATGAAAAGACTGGGACTGGCCTTCAAGTTTGACTTCAAATTTCCGGTTGGAGGTAGCGTTCCAGTTATATTTATTTCAATGAGCCAAGATGGCAGCCATTAATGACCTTTCTCTGAAGGTCGTAAACAGTTTTTTATACCATTTTCCCCAGCTAAATCCAGTTTTTTCTAGCGGACAGTATCCCCAGTCAAGCATTCAGTTGATACAGTAAAATCATAATATTAGTCCTTAAATCAAAGCCAAAATATGAAATTTCGGCGCACTCCTTGCCAAGATGACGAAAATGGAAGGAGCTATTGGACGTCAGTTCCAGTCCCTTGCTATTGTTTTTGTCTGCGCGGTTAACACGAAGCTGGCTTCGCTTTTCAGACTCAACATCATCATCAATTAATTAAAACTCAGTTAGATTTTAGCAGATCACATGACCAACTTCTACCAGGGTCTTTACTCCACAAGAGGTAAGAGCCTGGGAACGAGGTTGGTGAACCAAGCGGCATAAGCACAGGAAACCTCGAAGCATAAGAAACGATGCAAAAGAAAATTATGCCCGCTTTTTTTGCAAGTCCCGAAGGCAAAGGCATAATTTCCTTTTGTATTCCTGCTTTATATGCTTATCCCACTAGTGTGAACCAGGAATTAACCTCACCAAAATTTCCAATGACTTTTTCTTGAATTCCTCAGAAAGACCGCCATCCACACTGACTATGCCACTCACAAGTCTATCGAGATTTCCATTAATTGTATTGATGTAGTTTAATATTCGTTCATTGTTTATGTTGGCGTTTTTCCCATCAACCTCGAGTTGGAGTGCTGAAGTAAAACAACATGAAAAAGAAATTTACGGGAACCATGCAGGTATAAAATATGCTGAGCATTTGAATCAAATCACTGACCACTGCTTTTTCGATAATGTTAATATCAAAAAATATTTGCTTTTCGCATTTTGGTCGTGGAAAAGTACATTTCGGGCTTTAAACAAAACCCAGAGAAGTCAGTTAATTCAGTCTACTTCAGTTTATGTTTAAAATACCACTTCGTAAACTAAGTGGTATTTTTGGAAACTAAATTTTGGAAACTAAAATTTATCGCTCAAAAATAACTCTTTGGAGCACAATCAAGATATATGGAAAAAGCCGTCCGCTCACGCAGCCATTCAGATTGTAGGAAATAAAAGAAATACAAGCTATCATTAGCTAACAAATAAGAAATCAATCTACTTTACCGTGCAATACCAAGGAGTCTATTTCATCCAGTGCCGCCTTCATCTTCACTTTGCTTTGATCCACATAGTCTTTATTTTTCTCGGAACTTTGACAAAGAAAGTGAGGACAGGGAGAGATGTACTGGCATGTTGGATGTTTACATGGTTTAGGACGATAATCTTCACATCTTCTGATCGCGTGATACACACTCGAACTTAAACTCACACCATAGCTACTCCAGGACGCAATGGTTAATCCTGCACTGATCGCACTAAATAATCCTCCTGAAAATGACAAGTGTTCGTCAATCAGGCTAAGGGATACACAGGGTGTCACACAAAAACCAGAACCCATCTAAATTAATTATGTATTCATTGCAACGAGCAAGTAATTATAATACAGTAGTTATTATTATTATTATTATTATTATTATTATTATTATTATTATTATTATTATTGTCTTTATTAGGGTCCATTACAGTATATGTACAAAGTCTAATTATAAAGTCAATTATTCGGAGACCCTAAATGGGCGAGGCGCAAGCGGGACTCGAAGAACCATGCAAGCACCTGCCCAGACTTAGTAAAAATTTACTGTTCTAATTGAAAATCTATACTGTTCTAGTAAACCTCGGAGGTGCATACGCCTCATAAAAATCGAGTAGTTTGATGACATTGACATCTCTGAGACTTCATTTTGTGAAATACGCACATAGGCGTACGAGACAGGGGGGGGCAACCTCCCCCCCTAATTTTGCTAGGAAAAATCAAGAGAATTCGGACAGATTTATCAGAAAATACGTTAAATTCAGGTAATTTCTATCATTACAATCCTCCATAAAAGTTCGGGCAAACTTTCAACTGCCCCCCTGGAAAGCATCAGCCCCATACGCCTATGAATACCCAACAAAAAGCTGCTTTGATTTGAGTCACCAAATTGATTTTGGTCACCAAATTTTCAGCATCGGCGTTTAAAGACGAACCGAGGGTAACTGTATCATGCAAGCAACGAATTCATGAAAATAGGAACGAGTTATGCATAAATTTGTTGTTTGCACTGTGATATATACATTGAAGCATAATTTGTGTTCAAACTCCAATGCTGATGCTGTCACAGCAGCTTTTTGTTGCGTATTTCACAAATTGAAGTCTCAGAGATGTCAAGGTGATCAAACTACTGTATTATAATTAGTTGGTCATTGCAATGAACACATAATAATTAATTTAGATGAGTTCCGTTTTGTGGGGGACTGAAATGTGATAACTCAAGTTGGGTGAGATCTTGGGGTCGTGAGGAATATTGGCAACATGATTGAAGAAAGTTTTCAATTTTCACCCATAGATACCTCACGAGTCATGTAGTGAAGTAAGTGTTGTTCAATGTTCATATTGAAGATTGTTTTGTTATCCGATCAACTGAATTTTTCGCTTGTTTTTACGCACTTCAGAACTTTTGAAAAAGGCAAATTGAGTATCCGCGAGGAACACTGAATATACAACTGAAAATATACCGATCTTTTGCATGGGATAAATGGTACTTTCAAACAGTACACTCAGGAAATTCCACAGCAGAGAATATAACAAATCTTTTATAAAGTTAAGCACTTACGTTTTTGTCTGAGGTGAGTTACTGCAAGTTCATCCGATGTTTCTATATCGATACAAAATGATATATTTATCATAAACAGTAAAACAGACATGTGTGTATAACTATTAATACGCTTTGTCAGTTCATTGTTGTACCTTGTTGTTTATTAAAGCTGGTCGATATCTGTCTTGCAGAAGATAGATCAAGGTGGACCAGAAATATGATTGCCAGTACGAACGTAGCTTGAAACATCTCTGATTACTTTGAACTGAACCTGTAAAAAGAATAAATAGTAATTTTTTAAAATTTTAATGAAGTCACGTGAACATGTCAAGGATGCCGGAATTTGCTAAGGGCATCGAGAGCAATTTGTTATCAAAAGGTTTTTTTCTTAAGACGAAATATAAAATCAAACACAAAAACATCAATGCAGACACAAGGAATTTTATGTTTCGTAAGTAATCTGTAAATCTGTTTGTGTTAAATCATCTGTGCACCCGCATTGTACGCACCGGCATCCATATCAATGATTACATCGAAAGCCGAAACGCAGATGCATATCTTGTGTATGGTAATTAAGCCGCTACTCCAGAAGGGGAACTCCACTAGCTTCCTTCATTAGAGAAGCAAATTGCGGTGCCCAGCTGCTAGGGGAAGTTAGGCATCACTTTATATTGGCTGCGTGAGTTTGTTAGTCTGTTAGTTTGTTAGTGTATTGGTTAGTTAGTAAGTTAGTTAGTTAGTTATTTAATTGTTAGTTAGATAGTTAGTTACTTAGTTACTTAGTTAGTCAGTTAGTTAGTTAGTTAGTTAGTTAGTTAGTTAGTTAGTTAGTTAGTTAGTTAGTTAGTTAGTTAGTTAGTTAGTTAGTTAGTTAGTTAGTTAGTTAGTTAGTTAGGTAGTTAGTTAGTTAGTTAGTTAGTTAGTTAGTTAGTTAGGTAGGTAGTTAGGTAGGTAGTTAGGTAGTTAGGTAGGTAGTTAGGTAGTGTGTTAGTTTGCTAATCTCACTCGTTGGTTTGTTAGTCTGTTGGTTTCGGAATCAAGCCTTAAATTTATTCATACATGTTCCAGGGCACTGTAAGTACTATATCTGGTTTTTTATTTTTTTTTAATTATTTTTACTGAAGATTCGCCAAACATAACAGACATAAATAAAACTAATACTTTACAAAATTTACATACAATTCGGACAGGGACTAGCCACAGAGATAATCTCCAATTATGGGGTCCCTTAATTATGGGTTTTGCTACGGGTCAATAAACATCCCCCAAGCGGATGTGAAATAAATACAAATATGTATGCACCAAGAAAATGATCGTCGCCTGACAAGCTTAGTCTAGGGTGAAGGGAAGGTTATTAACTGAGCTATAGTATATTTTGGTGTCGATCGAACTCTCTCAGACATTTCGTGGTCTAAAACACGCATTGTATGTAAATGTAATGATGACACATACATTACCTCAAATACAGAATATTCGATATTATACAGATTTTACGATTTGACAGTTACAAATTAAAACTGAGTCACTCAATCCCATCTTGCGGAGCGAAATGGAAAATTGATTTATTCACTATCAACAGAAAGCCGCCAAATGCATGTTCATCGTATTTCAGAATATAATATATACATAATATAGATCAATCCGTTGTACTTCACTTCATAAAATTTCTCTCGAAGTTTCCAAGTTCTTTCAAAGTACAAACATTGTCTCGTGAGGGTGATGGTATTGTTGCTCTGTGTTTGCCCTACCATGCAGGCAAGATGGCGACGCGAACCTCGAAAAGGCGTACATAAGATAATAGTGCATGCCATTTGATGATTTTGAACCATTTCAAACATACCAGATAAGTGCTAAAGGTATTTTCAACCTGGACTAGACGTGTATGGTAGTGAAATTTAAAATAGACGCGCACATACCTTTAACTGATATTTTCCGACGTGATGTTACTCCTTCAATGTTCCTGTCCAGGGGAAATGCTTAAATATGAATACTCAATATGACCTGTGATATGACCAACGGTCACTATATAAACATTCAACAATTTGTTTAGATTTATGACGTCACAGTATATACACACCCAATTAACTTGCGTAAAAAACTGGCAACAAATAATTAGTGATGACTTAAAGCCGGAAATCGTTCCAATATCCAATCACAAAATTTTATCCTTTTATGTAGGAGTCAAAATCATTGCATATTAAAAATATCATTCGTAACTTTGATCAAATTTACCAAACATTGTATCAATATGCAGGAATCGAAGGTGAGCAGGAAGGAAGGAAAGTCAGTGACCTTCACTAAGAAAGGGTAAATATGTGAAATAAGTGGTAATATATCAGCAATTGAAACCCCAGGCAGAAAGCGAAGTCTAGTTTAAATTGCAGCCCAGTAAATAATTAAAAAAAGGCATATTCAAACATTGGAATGCATATTGAACTTTTCATATACTTGAATATAAATTTTATTAAAATTACTGTGTGATAAATAAGTGGTGAATACATTACGTCATATCAAGATCAGGTTTCTACCTAATATGGTGACGTATATGCCACGGAGCTCTATATGTAACTCTCCTCCGCAGTGGGAGTTCTAGCAAACAATGGCACTTTGGTTTAGAATTAGGTGATAGGCTTGCTTAATCCCATTCGGCTAATCCCTTGGGGATGTAGGCCTGCATAAATATAAGGTCAGAAAGGGTTTTTTCACAGTTTGCTACGAAAACGATCGAGCCAAGGTAACAAACTTTCTTGTGTTGGGGAAGCTCCTTGTCGCAGCCGAGCCTTGATATATACTCATGGCAGAACGGGTCCAACTACAGAGAGTCGACATAGATGCCGTACTGGCTGAACATGCCGCTTTGCCGCAAGAACAGCCTCCTCCACAGCCGAGCCTTAATGGTGATGTTCCAGTTGATGTTGCTCCCGGCGTCGCCAATGCCGCGCCAGCTCAGGTTCAGGTATACTGTGAAGTCCCCCGTCTTTGGAAGCCAGCTGAATTTTGTCCCCAATGTCATTACGCCAACAACCGTATGAACGTCAGAAGTCATCCTTGCAGCAAGAGTTGGAGGTTTTTCTGGCTTTCCTGCCCACGTTGGTTGGAGGAGTCTAATTGGTACTGCGCGCTACTACATGTGGACTGATACTATGACTAACCCTCCTAAAACATTGGACCTGTTGGTCGACTATAGCAGCGCTTCTGCTACCCCAACTGCTCCATCTTTGGACAATCTTGGTGCATCTTTTCGTTCGAGCCACAACCGTAACGCCTTTTCATTGGATTTCTCCCCTCACGTATCTCCTTAGGATATTTCTGAGTATTGGAGAGAGTAGAAATCTATATATTGCGTTGTTGTAAAACTGGAGAGTAATCACAAGTATACCAAGGCCAGGAGCCAAGCAATCCTCGGGCGTGAAAATTATTTACCCCATTCTTAATAATTATGTTAGCCAAGTGCATTGTTTGGTAGGGCGAGCAGTGCCAATATAATACTATTCTCACTGGGAGTTCTAGCAAACAATGGCACTTCGGTTTAGAATTAGGTGATAGGCTTGCTTAATCCCATTCGGCTAATCCCTTGGGGATGTAGGCCTGCATAAATATAAGGTCACAACAGGGTTTTTTCACAGTTTGCTACGAAGACGATCGAGCCAAGGTAACAAACTTTTGTGGCCACCCCCCTACCCTCGGCTGCGACACCGTGATGCCTCACCATGCAATGCCCTTGGCTGAAAATTATTTACCCCATTCCTAATCATTATGTCAGCCAAGTGCATTGTTTGGTAGAGCTATGGGTAGAGCGAGCAGTGAGAACATAATACTATTTACGATTCTAGTTTAATTACTATACCTTAAAAATGTAAGGCGTTGCGGGGAAGCAAGGGAACCGCATGCTTAACAATCCACAGGTATATAGCCTGCGCACTATCAGCAGCCCACTCATTTCCGTTCTCATTTGCTATGTCCTTGGTGTGACGTAATGCACATTTCTCCCTCGCAGGAAATTCTGTGGCGTAAGATTGACGTAATTCCGCTGTTTGCCACAACGTTCTCTTGGACAGGGAACAATCTTGATATAATTCTATTATAAAGCTGATGTACTAACCTTTCTATCAATTCTATATGCTGTATTCATGTTTTGTCCGATTTAAAAGTAATTTAATGTTTAGCAAACATGGGTCTGGGTGTTGGTACAATACCAAAATAGTGTAAATCATTGCAACTCTGTACACACTGATTTAGTGTAAATATTAACACCATTTTTGTGTTAGCGAAACAACAAATACACTCGTCAGACGTATTGGCAGCCAATAAGTCCCAGATAAGCGTTTCAATACATTTACTCAGGGGCATACGCAGCCCTAAACTAGTGTGTGTGTGGGAGGGGGGGTCTAATCGTTCAGCCGGCTGGGGCATGGTCTTCCTGGCAAATGTTTACATTTTCAGGGTCTGTGAAACGCTATTTAATTCATCTTAGCTCTATGATTTTAGACCATAGATATCTTATATACACTAGATAGCGCATCTCTTTTAGTAAAATTGAAGCCAATAATATTCCAGCGGTTACCCCCATTTGAATAGATGGCGGCCATGTTGGTCGTTTCCACTCAGGGCGCTTATATATAAGCGCCCTGTTCCCACTTGCTAATAAACGCTTAAAAACAACAATAACTTTTATCATTTGAATAGTTTAAAAATGTATTTGGAATAGGTTTAACTTAATGTTTAAGTTCCCTGTTTAAGAAATAGAAAACATACGAATCTTCTCATTTCATGGGAACGACCTGAGACTGCAATCACGGCTTCAATTTTTGAATTGCAGAATAATTAGATGCACGATATAGTGTATGTAAGATATCTATGTTTTAGACACGTTTAATGACAATCTGACAGATATGGTATATTTAAATATATATGAGGAAACCAGCAGTGTATCGTTGTCCTGGTACAGAAATCAACGAGATCTCTTTGCTGCGATTTTAGGTGCAATTTTCTTCTTCTAATGCATGTTGAACGAGTAAATGAGTTATGAATATTTCGCCGTATGTACACTCACACGTTCGCATCCATCAGAATAAGAAAATTGCACCCAAAATTTGAAAGTGTACTCCTTTATAATTTAATTTCTCTTTAATTAAATACAAGTGTGTTCGATAAGTCATATGATAATTCAAAGCGGTATGGGACCATAGAAATATTAGACCTATTGATTAGAAATATTGTCTATTATTTCTATGTATGGGACGGAATCAATTTTGCAGGAAGGAAGGGAGGGGGGTGATTGTTGGAAAAATTTTCAATGAGGAAAAATTTTGGTAAAAGTTGCATATTTCTATTATGACTATTATCGTCAATCTTTCTTGCATTTTCGACTAGTATCTTTATTGCTTTTGAATTTATTTCCCCCATCGTTTTGCCCAACTTACGTTTATAATTTGCCCAACTTCAATTTTGCTGGGGTGGCAGCTGCACCCCCCTCCCCCCCCTCCCCCCCCTCCCCTGCGCCTCGTATGCTTATGTGATAACAAAGGTATCAACCTCGTTCCCAGGTCTTCACGGCTGCCTTGTTAATTATAGAATAAATTAGTTCATGTATTTTAAACGCCATGTCAGAGAATACATGTTGACCAATGAAGGCCAAAAATAGACTTCTGATGTATTATCATTTAACTGATGTAGAACTAAATATAGCCAGTTCAATAATTGAAATCTATATTCCTGACAATTATATATGGATAATAATGGATACTTTATAGATTTTAGTGATTTCTGGTTGATAACGAAGTGTGAAAACATGTTGAAGCACCCACGTAGAAAAAAATTAATTTATTTTATCCCGGCAGATTAAATGTAAGACATGTGCAGCTGGCGCCGTGAATAATAATAATACAACAACTTAAATCTTTCTCTTTGACTTATCAGTTCGATACTTTAACAGAAATACACCCCGAATGACACACAATTAATTTATTTTTTGTTTAGATAACTTGACGCGAATATATAAACGAATTATAGGAACAAAGATAATTTCTCGGTTCTGAGCACGAATTAAAATTTCATGAGACAGACTGGAGAGACATCCTCATTTTCTCATGATTTTCGCTGTATTGTACGAGAGCGGAAACGCAAAGGATCTTGTAGATAACGTTGAAGAATGATGTATCATTAGGCAAAATGGTTTGTATATTTTATTTCCTTTTGTTCTTAATTTCTTATCGTTTGTTGAACGCTGGGTTTTAAATATTTATCACTTTCATGCATAGGTAATTTAGCGAGAGTTCTTTATTGAGGTTTGATCTTAAAAACATGTTAAAGGAATACGAAATTGGTTGAAAACAACGCAAATAGCTAAACGGCTTTGGGGCGAAAAAGCCTAGTCTTCTCTTGCATTCATATCTTGCCAGGCTTGCCTTGCTCTATATACGCGAACCAAGTACGCTCAAAGTAATAACGATATTCAATTACTTTTCGACACTTAGTTGCCATGGAATAAATAATGCATTGGGTTTCATTCGATCCCTCAATAATCTTTTCACATATCTTCAATCTCGGATCTTTATAAAGCATTCAAGATGAGAAAAGTGTAAAAACATCAGTTGTTGAATTGCAATGATGCGACTGAATTTTATCGTGAGTGATTCCTTAGTATTTCATGTCATACATATCTAGCCAATCAATGTTATGATTGCTGCTGCTTCACAATAAAAATATTGAAATGAAAACAGCTGGCTTTTTACGACAGTGCTTTATAAATAAGGCATTATTTTGGGGACAATAAATATCAGCCACTTATGTTGACTTATCTATTTGGCCTGCCGTCTTAACGTGGAGTAACTGTGGACACAACCTTTGCAACAACCTTTATTCCTAAACTGTTCCTTTCCTCGACTCATCAATATCCACATGGAGGTATGTCTTTATATTCTTATAATTCGTCATGTGAGTTGAAAATCGTATTACCTAAACATCTGCTTTAACTGAAGTTGAATTGAGAAGCAATATTAAAGTTAAACGTATTTAGTAAAATGAAGTGTCGGGAGAGACTATCAGTCGGCCCATATTCAATGCAATCGACATAATTCTTTGAAGAAGAATGATTTTTATTGTTTTAAGAAAGTTTGCTTGATTTTATTGCTAGATAATTTGCATACGTTAAGTGTGCGTTTTAGTTTGACTTAATATATAATCTCACGCAGGCCATGTTTTGACAAGGAAATTTTCAGCAGTGACTTACACTTGCAACTGAACTTAGAGCCATGTTATCTAAAAAGTCATTCGACTTAGTCCAGAGAAATTGTGAAAATGGCCCCGCACTGTTTACTCTGCTGAAATATGTCATCCCATTCCCTTAAGACTATGACTGAAATATGTCATCCCATTTCCCTTACAACTATGTAAAGAAAGTGTCGACCGCTGGCCATGCTCACAATTTTTTGTGACTACATTTTAGTCTTTTAGATACCATATGCTGATATGCATGGCTCTGTATCCGAAATTGCTTTGCAACTAGTTAAGAAAAATTGCCATATGTGACATGTGATATGGGCCATGGCCTTTGAACTACATCAACATAGGTTTTAATTCACAGTGACTGCTAGCGTGCGTAGCGGCGTTTATCTGCGGACTAAAGCCATGATCAAAATAGAATGAGAGTTGATGAAAGCTGTTGGCAGTCGCGAATTGTAACTAACAAAATAAGGTTTGATAAATGTTCCAGCTACGTTTTATCTCAACTAGAATACATGATAATGTTGGGAAAACATGAAGAATAGTAAACCAAGGTCACGTGATCTCATCCACTCTCATCCTTGTTTGATCCGGGCTTAAGAAGACCATTTGTGATTGGTTGATTATAAGAAGCGAAACACAAACTATAGAATACTTTTCTCTTCTATAATTGGCTTCAGGAAGCCAATCACAAAACAGGGGTTATCCTGCCGCTTCAGGAAGCCAATCACAAAACAGGGGTTATCCTAAGGCCTTCCATTTTCCAAAATGGGCAGTTCTAAATGTAAAATTGGTACGTTCTAAAACTTAAAATTGGCATGATCCTTGTGATGTTAATCTGAGTGTATATCACACCGGGCAAGCTTGAAAAATATGCCTGGCCACGGTGGGAAATCGAACCTACGACCTTTGGAAACTAGCCCAATGCTCTGCTAACTGAGTTACGCGGTCAGGTCGGTTCGAGTATGTGATATTTCGGAACAGATTACTAGATTACATTGATATCGAAGGAACTAGATTCTGTAGCTTAGTTGGCAGCGCATTGGACTAGTATAATTCCAAAGGTCGTGGGTTCGATTCCCACCGTGGCCAGGCATATTTTTCAAGTTTGCCCGGAGTGGATATACACTTAGAGTAACATCACAAGCGTCATATATTCACCAACACAGAATAAATCAGTAAAATGGGCAGTTCTAAAAGCGTAAAATAATAATTTGTTATAAATATAATTAAGTGCCCATACAGATATTCAAGGCAAAACAAAATATCACTCTGAAAACGCAGAAAATGGAAATTCTGGACTTCTAAGATTATCTTCCGGGGTAGCATTGCCCAGGGCTCTCCTAGTTATTCAGGCCATGTCCATGACCTTGTCACTCGTTACGGCCGCAGTTATCCTGTGTTCACTACCTCACAGTCTATTCTTGTCGAAATGGGCAGTTCTAATTTTTTTCTTAGGATGATCCCTGTCACAAAATATGTTTATTTTTCGGCTCAGTTTAACGGAGGGTGAACTAGTTCGAACAAATGAATAATAGCATGTTTTTCAGTTGACATGCATGACAAGTGTAGTTTGTCCAACTACAGTATATTGCCACAATTCTTGTGGGAGTTGTGGGCTTAACAATAGACTATAATTAATTTGTGTAATTTGAAAGTCAATTTCAGTTTGTTTGTTTGTCCGAATTAGTTTGTGCTATAAATAACAAGCTTAATCTACGCTATTAACAAATGAAAAAAATGATTGAATGCTAGCCTATTTCTCATCGGATGTTCTAAACATGCACTTTCTACGCATGTTTTGAAATATTTCCGACGTTTACATATGAAAACATATTTGAAGTTAATTTTGCTTATTTTCCAGGACAAGTTAACGGAAGAACAGGTTGAAGGTAGGAAACACGCACATAGGAGGCACGATACAGCTATTATAAAATAACTACAGTGAAACACGCAATTTGATTGGTCAATAGCCGTGCAGGATCAGGCTATCCTGCACGAGGAATTAAAATGCCTTCGCGGGATTCTCAAAATGTCATTGTTTCACTGTAGTTATTTTATAAAACAATTACCAAATGGTTTTCCAAGCAGGATAGCGTGATCCATGCACTTGGGATGTTGCTCGACTTTCGGAAAGCGTAAAAATACACTCGCCTGCGGCTCGAGTATTTTTACGCTTTCCGAAAGTCTCGGGCGCGACATCCCTCGTGCATGGATCACGCAATCCTGCACGGAAAACTATTCGGTATTCCTTTAATACAGCACGTAGTAGGCATGATAACCTTTTCAGCATGTAGCACGTATATAGCATATAGCATATCAGTAGCAGGCACGATACAGCTAATACAGCTAATATAGCACGTAGCAGGCACGATATACAGGACAATTCTGAGTAGCGCGTAGGAAGCATGATACAGCTACAGTAATACAGCATATCAGTAGCACGTAGGAGGCAAGATACAGCAATACAGACACTACCAGAAATTCGGACAAATTCTGCACGATAACGTTTGAAAATGCATTCGTGAATTCGAGTCTCGACTGCATGCGCACTTCTAAATGATGCGTTCTGAGTTGGGAAAAATTTCAGTAGGATCATAACATGGAGCTGAGACTGCAAGCATTAAATATTTGCATGCCAAAGTATTGAACTGTTCATTCGGCATTATTTGTGATTCACTTATAGTATAAGTGAAACACAAATAATGAAATGATGCCGTTTTATAGCCATAATAGAATTGTCCTTGAATATGTTCGTATACTAATTTTGTTTCCTATGTAAAGCAAAATAGAGAAAGGTAAACCACAGAGATTATATTTTCTAATTTAAAGCGAGTCAACTGTGCGGAAACTAATTGTTCTTTGAGGCACTTTTTGCAACATTATTCAAATAAGATTGACCAGTTGAATTCTTTGACTGCATATTCTAACTCTTGCACTCTCAGCTCCATGTTATAACTGTAATTTATCCCGTCGCAGAACGCGTCATCTGGATGCGCAGTGGAGATCCTGAATGGCTTATTAACAAAGTCCTGCATTGAGGATGTGTCTCACGACACCTATATAACTTAGAGTCAGGTCGAATTGGAGTCTCGAATTAAGGTGGTCATGACAGAGTCTGTGGTGGCTCTACATATAAAAAACGCACATGCAGTTACAGACATGGGCGTATGGGGCTGATGCTTTGCGGGGCAGGGGGAGTTGAATTTTTATGGAGGATTGTGATGAAATAACCTGATTTTAACATATTTTTCATAAATCTGCCCGAATGTTCTTGATTTTTCTTAGCATTTGCCCGAATTTCCATGATTTTCCAAAATATGGAGGAGGGGGGGGGTGTCTATGGTTACAGATCGAGTGTTTCGAACAGACATCTTAAGATTGGTTTAGTCAGGATCCAAGACACTTTTTGTTTCCAATGCTTGGTTTAAAGTAATCAAAACAATTGTGAATTCCTATATTTCAGAATATCGTGATGCATTTCGATTTTTCGACAAAGATGAAAGTGGATATATTACGACAAAAGAACTTGGTTCAATCATGCGCAGTTTAGGTCAAAATCCTACAGAAGTGGAATTGCAAGAAATTATGAACACAGTTGATTTTGACGGTAAGATTTGTACGAGAGATTCAATAGTTACATATGCATAAAGATGATCGCGTTTTTGACACTCCACTCATTATGATCATCCCCTTTGGAAACTTTTCAGTCTTTTTCTCATCTTATTCTGTCGTCAACTTTATCCAGATGCATCATTTTACCGTCATTCTAACTAGAGCACATGGTCGACATGGACCAGGAACAAGGAAATGAAGACAACCAAGAAAGTGATGGATGAATTGTGTCTCACAAACACTTTGTCTTCCATTCTCTGCCATCTCGTATCTTCTCTCTCACCATCTTTTTCTGCAGTGAGCTCCATATAAATCTGGAGTGAGAACTTGAGCAAAACCAAGCTGGAGCTATTGGACATCAAATCCAGTCCCTTTCTCTTGTTTTTGTATGCGCAGTTAACGCGAAGCTGCAAGGAAGGAATTTCGTATTTTCACCAGTCAATTTGAGTAATAATATTATGGTTTTATGAACTGATCATTGGTTTAGCGATATGAACCGTTAGAAAAAACTGGGATTTTGGACGTCAATTTCTGTGATCTTGGTTTAGCTTTTCTTGTAGACCGAATGACTGAAATTCTTGCTCCAGATATATATACATAGAGAGAGAGGTCAGTGACTCATTCAGTCGTATGCATTTCATCTCCACTACTTCCACTTTCTTCACTTGTACTTCCTTCACAACGTTTCAATATTCCTGGCGTTTACAGGCGGTTTAACATTAACAATATAGGCTGATAATACGATAAGCTCACAAAGAAAGGAAAAGGAACAGGACTTTCGCCCCAACTGACACCTAACCCCTATAATGTTTCTATAGCGAACTGGCGCCTTGACTTGGCGTTACTGTTTCTTGACAACTGTCAGCGTAATTCTTAATGGCCAAGCTTGAAATATTTGATAAAAACACCAGGGGCCGGTTGTATAAAACTCTTAATCACTTTTTTAATCACTATTTTGTAGTTAAATAGTGATTAACTCCCAAATACGCACTTCTTATTGGATGACGTTTGCACTTAGTTATGGTTAATTTTAATCACTTTTTTATACCAGCCCCTGCCGTTTTGTTTTAAAACTGGTGATTAAATTTTTGCAATTATATTTATTAATATTTCTAGGAAATGGCACAATAGATTTCAATGAATTTGTGAACATGATGATAAATATCAATAACAACACGTTGGACGAAGCAGAGTTAGTAGAAGCGTTTCGGACTTTCGATAATGATGACAAAGGATATATATTCTCTTCAGAACTACGCTCAGTATTGCGTTATATTGGAGATAACATTCCAGATGAAGAAATTAACGATATTGTTAAAGATGCTCGGCATGGTTTTAACAGAAAGATCTTATTCGAAGGTAACAACGGCTTGACATGCAAAAATTCTTTCATTTACATGTTTAATTGAATACAAAACCAAATAAAAACAAAAAGTTTTAATATTTGCATTGATGGGTACTAGGTCTTTTCTACAAATATGTACACTGTTAATTCCTACATTGCTCCATGGAGTGCTACTCACTGAGTAGTGAAGTGGGAATACTCATATTTCGCAAGACTTGAAATTAGTACAACTGTGAGGGTCCTGAAGGGGTAAATGAGAACTGGCATTTGTCTATTTTTGGGCCGGGAAAATGTGATTTGGGTTACTGGGAAAGAAAGACACAGAATGGGAATTGGGAAACTAAAATACCAATATAAAAACAAGTCCAGGAAAACTGAATTTAAGCGACGTATGGCTCAATGAGGTAATTTCCATGCTATTGTAATAAGTCAGTCATATACCTTTTTCTCGACAAAACTGGTTCTAAAGCGGGCAATTGAACGCAGACGCCGTTACGCCGTAGACGAATTATACTTGCAGCATGATGTGAATAGGGAGCATACATTTCAATAATTTATTATTTCCATGTATTTAAGCGACAATTATTTGGCTAAAAGTTCATTTCAAGAAAGAAAACAAGGTTATGGTGTCGTGAGCCCATGCATCAGTTATGGTGGGACAGGTATAATGCTTCGCTATTATTTTCCTTCTAGAATTCAAGCAGATGGTCAAACCGTGATCACAGTATCAAAGTAGAGTGAAAACAGAAGTGTGATCTGGCGTGTTGTGGTTCATGCAAGATAGTGATGTGGAAATCTGACAGAAATTGTCTGGAAATGATCTTCCATAATTATTTGTTTGCTTGCAACGCTATACATAAGCTAAAGACTTTGGATATTTCTGTTTTATTTTCCTGTTAGTTCGAAGTTAGCAGACAGAAAGCTGCCATGGCAAAACAGATACGTAGAAACGCAGGAATTCTGTTCAAATCTACTGCAACGTCACCTATCACGGCTTTGTTTTGCCACCACAGAGACATTGAAACAAACGAACACGCTAGGACGTGACACGTTAAGTTGGAAAACAGGCTTCATACCTTATTGATTGACTATCTATTGTGTAAACATTTATATTTAGTAAAGGAGCAACTGGTAATCGTTGTAGCAGTGGCGACGGAACAGGGGGAGGAGAAGGGAGGGCTAAAGGGAAAACTCTACTTTGTCTTTGGCATACATAGAGAAAAAATGAGGAAAGAATTTGAGAGAAGCGGCAGGTGTATGAATAACACCAAGAAATGAAATATATTAGGTCTGGAAATCCCCCACCCTCCCTGTCGCCACCAATTCCAGGAACATTTTACGATAAAGAAACAATGTTTATACGTCGGGCAATTCCGTGAAGCCCTCCCCCTCCCAAAAGAAAATAACAACTGTTTCGCCGCCACTGCACTGTAGAAATGTTTTGGTTGAAATATTTTATTTGCTAAAATAATGCAGTTATCTGGTCAAGTTTGAAGATGTTATAAAAAGCAATATGTAGTGACATGAAAATAACGCACGTGTACCCAGGGCATTTGTGGCCAGGTGATTTACGTAATTCAACATCACACATCGTTTCTGTAATTCACTTTTAACAGCTATCATGTTCTAGGCTGAAAATAATCACAACTGTATGGATGTACAATATCACCAGTCTCTTAATGCAATAACTACGGAAGGGATGATAAAAAATCATGTACACTGGATATTTTGCAAACAAAGACGATTACCTGGAGTACCTGGGCTTGCTCGCCTACCTTATAGTTGCAGAGTGTTTATATGCTTTGTCTGTGCAAATATAATTTGACGTAAGCTGTATATGACGTTCTCTTGACACATTTTAATTTTAGAATGATAAAATCAAATGATGGACGGTATAACTACTGTATATATTGAACTGGTTTATATAGGTTATATAATTATGAAATTTACTCACAAAAGTGGGATATTTTGGAAAATATAATTAATTAAATTATATATTTGTAGTGCTAATTGTCCCAGTGCTATGTTTTGGATAGCCAGTACGTATGGATATATATATTTAACAAAGAATGTCAAAGATGTGCATTTATATAATAATATAGGGGAAAATATTCATCAATACTACACTGCGGCCTTTCTACACTGGCAACATCTTAAAAGAGTATTGTACTAATATTAGTTGAAAGGCAGTCAAAAGGGGACAGATAGAAGAAAAGACATGATTCAATTGTGTCATGTTTATCATTGTACAGTTTGGGAGGTTCATTTGACTGACAATTTCCAACTAAGATAGTTCATCAAATTAATTTACACAGTCGACTAATTTAACCTAGTTATATACTTATAGAATTTTAAACCCAGTTTACTGGTTTCCTGGCCACTGGCAGTGCAATATTCTCAGTATTCAGAGTGTGGGCTATTCACAAGTTTATGTCAAAGGAAGCTAGGGGTGAATGAAATTGACCAACTGATGCTAACCATACTGTGCATGCAGAGTAAGATTATCAGCATAAGACAGAGTTGTATATAAATAAGTTTACCCGCTAAAGTCATAGATATCTTATATACACTAGATAGTGCATCTAATTATTCTGCAGTTCAAAAATTGAAGCCGTGATGGCAGACTCAGGATATTCCCATGAAATGAGAAGATTTGTATGTTTTCTATTTCTTAAACATTAAGTTAAACCTATTCCAAATACATGTTTAAACTATTCACAAATAATGAAAGTTATTGTTGTTTTTTAAGCGTTTATTAGCGAGTGGGAACTACCAACATGGCCGCCATCTATTCAAATGGGGGTAACCGCTGGAATATTCTTGGCTTCAATTTTACTAAAAGAGATGCGCTATCTAGTGTATATAAGATATCTATGGCTAAAGCACCTTTATACACCATATTTTATTTTAAATTCTAATGCCAGAAGATTTTACTCATCGAACATGGGAAATTATTGGAAATTAATTGGGGAAGGTGGTTCATAAACAACATAACAGTCTTCTAGTCCAGCAACGCTAGTTATGTGTGTATTTGCGTTGTCGTGATTTTCTGCCAGAATGTTTTTTCAATTTACCGGCCTAGAAACGTTAAGACTACGTACAAGAAGCACAGTACTGATTATTTTGGAATAGAGACTTGACAGTTGTTGCCACTGCTGCTATAATTATACTTGTACAAGCTAAATTTTTTCTTATATGGAGAAATTATGTTGTTTTTGCGATATAGGTTCAAGTTTTATACGTGTCTTTCCAAAAATGCAGCAAATATTTTTGTGACTCTGATGTATGAATTGGAACAAAAGAGTTCGCTGAGAACGCAGGAAATCGCATTTCCGAGGTCCTAGATTTCAAGGTGGATACCACCGGACCCCCCTACAAATACGAGGTTCGGGGCATCAGTCAGCCTAGGAGCTGGATCCGCCCCTGGAAAAATGCTCTTCTGCTCTAACGTTTCTGTTCGAAGCGCCGTTTTTTATACACTTTACTTCAGATAATTGAAAGAGTGCATTTTCCGCATATCTATGCCCACTGGAAAAGTTTAAAATACGTACTTACATTACGTGTTAATATATATGTGTATAATAAAATTTTGTATTAATAAAGAGTTATTTGAAATGTATAACGCAGAGTGTATAACGCTTTGTACAGAGTAACCCGCGTAGCCTGCGTTTAAATTTGCGGGCGGCGCCGATGTATAAAGGAGTTTTGTTCTCTTCGGCGTAGATTCTGTTCACAAAAACTTATTTCTCCGGAAATCGAATGGAAATTAGTCTGTAAAGTGGTCGCAATTAAAATGCCACGACGCGCAAGGATTTATATCTGACAAAGTATGTTACAAAGTATGTTACTATGTAACTCTGCCGTCGTTAACACGAACACGAGTATACCAGTTGATAGTTTTAAGTATAATAAGTCGCGTTTGTCAAGTACAGTTCAATCCAAGCGCAGGTTGTTGTTGATCTTTTGAGCCAAAGTTGGAAAATGGGCGTATAATTTATGCATTCTTGTTAATAGTTCATTAATCATGTTTATTGGTAATATAGACACGCAAAGTAACAATACACTAAGAGCTATAAACATCGAACATACTTAATACAAATTGTAGTACAACTGTTTTTTGAAGAAATATATTGTCAATGTTTTCAAAATGAAATAAGTCCATGGTATATCTTAAACGTTATATTGATCTTGCACCCTAGTGTCTACTAAAGCTCAAATTACGAGGATGAGAGTTGATGAGAGTTGGCAGTCACGAATTATTACAGGGGACATTTTCAAGCTCTAGATTAACAAATTAAAGTTTGATGAGTGAACCAACTATGTTTTAACCTAAATAAATACATGATAGTGTTGGGAAAGCATTAAGAACAGCTAAAAATGCTCTGCTGAGTGGTTATATTACTACCTGAAAAAAAACAAACTCGACGTTTCGACACAGCTAACCAAGGTCAGTGACTGCCAACTCTCGTCCTCGTTTCATCCGGGTAACAACGAAATAAAGACACTTTTTACACCTTGTCCTCGGCCATGGTTTTCATTAATTCTTCATTTACACCTTCCTTCAAGCTTTCATCCGTCGCGTCTGGCATTTCCCAGTAACTTTCATCATCATACAACTGATCCGGGCGTGGTGGATCAAATATTTTCTGTCGGACTATGAATCCAGTGATTAAACCAGAAGCAATGGATATAGCCAGAGTGACTACCACAGCTACCAACTGATATACTGACTGCTTGGCTCGTGTGCGGTGTTCTCTTGCTTCAAATACATTGGTGAGACTGTCGTGGTATGTGTCTAATGAGGCCAACCTTGAACAAATGATCCCAGCAACACCGGCCAGTAAAGCAGGCATACCATGCAAGTTGTTCACTCCACAAGTATCGTGTATTTTCAAGCTGTCATTCAGAAACGGTGTAACATAGTTATAACCAAGAACACTGATAATACCAGCCAGTGTTCCTATAAGGAGTGCTCCCCATGGTTGAACAATCATGTTAGCTACAGTACCAATGGCAACACCACCAGCTAATGTAGCATTTTGAACATGAACCATGTTTAATTTTCTTTCTCCATTCACGAAAGCAGAAAGTGCGAAGGTGGTGACACAACAAGCAACAAGTGAGAGATAAGTATTGATAACTGTTCGTTGTTGATCATTTGGATTAAGTACGAGAGCGCTGTTGAAACTCGGCCAGTACATCCACAGAAACAGTGTTCCGATCATTGCAAAGATATCAGAATGATACACAGAGGCCTCTTTAGGATTGTCATTGTTGTTGATATTTCTTAACATAAAGCTGACTGCGAGACCAAAATAACAACCAAAGCAATGAATAACCAAAGAGCCACCGGCATCTGCAATCTTTAGTTCTTCCAGAAGTACGAACTCGTTCACAGCAAACATCAAGATCTCCAGAATACAAATAATAAACAACTGAAGACGACTGACTTTACCCAGAACGACACCGAATGTGATGAGCACTGCGGCGGCCGAGAAATCTGCGGTGATTAGTTTGGAAATGTCGAGATTGATAGAAAAGCCAGTCGTCCCGCGATGTTCAATACAACCTGCGATGATAATGTACCACTGGATCGCCAGCGCTGACAGAAAGAAGTTGTAACCCACTGCGCTGAAACCATACTTCTTTAGAAATGTCATGAGGAAACCAAAACCAACAAATATCATCACATGAACATCTTGAAATACTGGATAACGTAAGATGCCTTCCTCAGACGCATCATGACTCTCCCCTTCTTTAAACCCTCCTGCCTGTTTCGGGTCATATTTCACCAACACTCCAAATAAAATGATCAAAAGAACTTGGAAAATAAAGCTCAGCACGGAGACCTTCATTCTTGAAAAACAAGGCGAGTGTTTATACGTCTGGATATTAGTGCGACTGCACGCGTCAGAGAACACACAAGCACTGAAAAAATGCAAAATTAATTAAATATTTATTACATAAATATTTCTAGCCAATTGTTATTTCAGCGTTGCCATAGTAATATCACGAAAGGATACTGAATTGAACTCAGACTGTGCCAATTTTCCGCAGTGTTGAGTGTTTCATGCACATGTGAAACACGTTCTATTTAACATGTTACATAATACACAAAACAAAACCTTTACTAGGAAAATGAAGCCAGACTTTGTACCTTTTATTGACTTAGTCTTTGTACTTTAATTGTACCAATTCCACCTGATTTGAATATGTTTGATCCGCGAATCAATAGCGAGCTTGAGCACGCAACGTTTTTGTCAGCACGGACGACACCACAAAATTAATAGAACGAATATTGGCGCATTTTGCATCATAGCGCTCGTGTATTAAGGCCGTTTTCCACCAGGTGGAATTTTCCGCGTGGAGCGGAATTTCTCTTTGTCTTTTCTAATTAGTTCCACCCGAGAAATCACAAGACAAAGAAAAATTCCGCTCCGCGCGGAAAATTACGCCTAGTGGAAAACGGCCTTTAAGGAAGCCAAAAAACTATAAAAGTCTTTGTTTTATCACATTTGTTGAAGATTACCACAAACTGACACAAACACAGTTTTAAATCCAGTCTCCCCTCGGCAATCTGACGTCCGTATTGACAAAAATGTCGCTCAAGTTCACTAATAAATCAGGCAAACTTCACATCGACGTATTTTGAGGTCAAGTGTTAGCTGTTCGAAGTTGTGTTAGCTGTACGAGTGTATTAAAATTGAAGCAGGAGTTATTTGTCTTAGCTAAGTAATAGGCCGTATTCTGTGGCACGAAAAGTCGCTTAGAAAACGAATTCCGTTGCCCGGGTTCGGGTACTACTTTGAAACAAGATAAATAATTAGGATAAATTATACAAAGTCCAAATCCGCTTGTTTGCACTTCCCAAAACCTGCAGTTTTCGAGTATTTCTTCTTCGAAAATTGAAGAAATCGACATCTTTCGCAATCGATCGCCGCCATTTT